TTTTTTAAATATCATATTGTCAAAAGCAGTGGTTTTCAATCGCAGGTCCGAGTCAACCTTTCCACCGGCCCGCCTGATATATTTCAATATGATATTTCAATTACAAAATGCAAGGTGGTCATTTAATTAACTTGTGAGTTTTACTTCCTATTAATGCGCGAACCAAACTGGGTCAGAGAGTCCTAAGACCATTTCAAGCCTTGAACGGCTGGATACCATTGTTACATTTTTGAATATGGCAGTGAAAAAATATTCTGAGCTCAGTGACACAACCTCTAAATTACTGCTGATTTATTGTACAACTTAGGCTACTTATGTGAGAAAAACTTTTCCTCGTTAGTTCTCAATTTTTCATCGAGACCAAACTGAAAAACGCGTAGAAGTCAACACTCTATTTCGCCTTGCCGAAACTTCATCGAAACCGCGTATAGCGGGCGTGATATCGGAAAGACAAAATCAAATTTCTCCTTAAATTGAATTGTTTGCTTTTGAATTGCATACTTTTGACGTAATTACATTCGTTTAATTATGTTTCGTGTTTTTGACATTCCGGATTGATTTTGAAAGTTCACAGGTCTACAGAATTAGTTTTGAATTTTACCGGTCCACAAATTGAAAAAGGTTAAGAACCCGTGATATAAAGCTTAAAAAAAGCAAGATATTTAATCGTTCACCCCCCAACAATATCGTCAAGCTATGATTATTTTTGTATAAGCTGCGTTTGCAAAGAAGAATTGGGAGAAGGCGTGGATGATCGTAGGACCACGTGTCAATAGTTACTCCTGCAATAACGCTGTAATGCTTACAACCATCACCGAGTTACTGTCGTTATGGTGTAACTCAAATAAAATATGTCGGTTACATATCACTATCAGTTTATTTTGGTTTTGAATCTCAACGCAACTACAGCATTTAGGACGCTTCTTCGATATCAGAAATATAATCCAGTATAGTGTAAACTTTATCAAGATAAGTAGAGGTGTGATGAAGTATCATACGTTAAACAATCTAACTTTATTGGACACGTTTAGTGGACATAACGATCGTTTTGTTTTTATGTTGTTCTTGTTCTTGTTGTTCTTTGACACTTTTTGGACACCTAGTGGAAATATTAAAAAACCGCTTTTCTCTTTGATCACTGGACCAATTGCTTTGAAATTTTTAGTGGTTGAAGAAGGCTATTACTTTTTTTATTTCAAATATATCTGTTAGCTCTGTGAGAATTGTTTTTTTGCTATGACGTCACCGAACGTTCTGCGAACATCGGACGCCATTTTGGGCCCTACTGCTTCGCTTGGTGTGAATATATTTGTAGACTGTGATCTGACCGTAACCGTACTTTACTGCGAACAGACGTGTCCATATATTTGGGCGTAGCTCTCTTGTTATTATTTACTTACGACTTACGATTGGACAAAACTAAACGGAAACGCTCAACTAAAATATTTTTTTTTTTATTATTTTACCATTGCACAATTTTTGATGATTTTGAGAATTTTTCAGAGAATTTGAGCTTTTGAATGGACATAATAATTCTTCAAAATCCCATTTTAAAAGAGTCAAGCAATTGCCGTGAAAAAGTACTGGTAGGTAGAGAATGTTTCTCGTACCCCATACAGCAGAAAATTGTTATATACTATACAGTTATGGATGTTTCCCCGAGCATCGATTTCCTTTTTTGGATTCGTAACAATTAAAAATTAGCAATACGTTAATAATGACGTAACCATCGGAATTTATGCCGCCGCTGAGACACTTTTTTAACTCGAACAGATATTTAAGCGTGGTTGTAAACATTGCCTGTTTTGGTAGTTTTGCGTGTTATTCGTCAGTTTTTTGTTCTTTTTTCAAAAAGTGGTTGTATATCAAATACCTTAATTATTATTATGTTTTCCGAGGATTTCCAGTTAGTTACAATAATCAAAAATTGATATCGCAAACGCTGCGATAGACTAGCCCAATATTAGCTATCAGTACCTACAAAAAGCACGTTTTTTTGTATACTATTAATAGTTTTGAAACATGTGAGCCAGTTTGTAAACGCCAACGTTTCAAAACACTCAAAATCAGCGTGGAAAATTTCGCAATGATAAAGTATGAGGAGAATCCTTCAGGGTCAAAGGTCGGGGAAACGTCCATAGGATACCAAAGATTCTCAAATGGTGCGCGGCCCGAAAATTAATAGAATGGACCTTTCCCCGACCTTTGACCCCCGAAAAATTCTTCCTTTACCTCATCATTGCAAAATTGCCGGGGCTATTTTATAAGAGTACTTTTGCGAGTTGGCGCCTGTAAAATGGGGTATGTGTTTCAAACCATCATTATGATTCATCACATACAACAATCTATTTTTTGAAAGTACCGATAAAGAATTTTAGCCTAGTCTATCACAGCTATTCCTACACTAATTTTTTATTACTACAATTAAATTAGACCTCCTAGGAAGACAGAGTGATCATTGAATTATCTGATTTATATTTAAGTTTCAGTAACACAACTGAAAACTAACCAATAAAGTTCAAAAATGCAAAAACGAGGTAATGTTCACGACCACGCCTGAAAATCTGTCTGAGTGAGAAAAGTGTCTGAGCGGATGCGAAAAGGGAGCATTGTTACGTCACTTTTTGAATTTTGCTGATTGGCCAATGTCACGAAGTAAACAAGGAAGTCGATGCTCGGGAAAAGGTCCATTGGTACGTAACAATAGAGACGGATAGACACTACTTGCTGCACATTTGTGAGGTGCAATTTAAACCGAGATTAGCCGACATCAGTGATTTTTTTATATTTCGAATATAAATCAGGTAGAAATGATGAAGGAGATTTAACCTTTTGTCTCTATTCCTTATGCCTACATGTTTATAAACTTAACCCTTTCCATGCTATTTTTATTTTTTATTAAATAATCGTATTTGCTACGCCGACTTTATGCATTTGTACCCCCACAACTAATCGATCGACTAACGAAAAGTAATGATCCTCTGCTGCCCACTGACGGCTCGTTGGAAAGCTTATTTAAATAGCTTGCAATTGGCAATTAAAAAAATTTTTTTTTTCAAAAGGGGTGGTCTGAGTCACAAACCGGATAGAAAAAAGGCATTTTTTTTCTTGGGTGTTGAAACTTCAAACCGTGATAAAAATAGAAATATTCGCTAAATCCTTTACTGTTACCGCTTCTTGGTTGGCAAACAATAGCATAATATTGCTGTAGCAATTTCGTTATCTAACTCAAAATACTTTGGTAGATGGAAGGGATAATATGTCTTCTATTACCACCCAAAAAACACCGAAATTTGCATAAATTTTAAAAACACTCCTTCGTTCCGCCGCAAATAAAATTCCCATGGTAAACGAAAGCGAGATTTACCGTCGCTTATGTTAATCTCGAAGAAGACTTCTTATCAATAAACTAAAACCCGGAAAAACTAGACCAACAGTTTGCGACCGATTGCTAAATAAAACAGTGGAGTACATCAACGTACCCGCCGCAATCTAGCGAGTTTTGTCGTGGGTACGTATACGTGCCCACCGCACGGAAAGGGTTAAGGCATAAAGTACACATTAACGATCTCAAAATTGAGTTGTATTTAAAGGCAGTTCTTTTTTTCGTTAGCATATGCACCGTGAGTGTTTTTCTTTGAGAATTTGGCGCGCACAACCAAAAGTTCAGGAATAGTAAAGTTTTGGTTGCTTATTTCGAGAGTTTTTGTGAGTTGGTCTTTATGTAAATAGTAAGCGTCAAAAATTTTGAAAAAACATATAGAATCAAATTCAACACAAAAAATTTGACAAAACCAGGGGAAACACTTTGTGGGAGTGATGATGCCTCAGTATAGTATCACTCTGCTTCTGTCACGCGTGGCCTATTCGTTTGAGCCAGGGATTTTCGGTTACTGATGCCGATAACTTACTTACCGCTACCGGTACCGTATGTCGTATAAGGTAAGAAATGTATGGCAGTAGAAATACCGTACCGCTGTACCGGTAAACTACATAACGTGGGCTTCACGGGTTTGAATACAGTGCTTTGACAACCCCAGGGCTGTAGGGTAGACTGAGTACGGTACCGTAACTTAACGAACGCGAACTGGCGAACGGTAAGACTGTGCTGTCAACTCTTACAAAATCGCCAAATCGTGCCTAATTGATGAATTGGTTAATACTGTAATAACTGAATAAGGTAATCTGATAAAAATACATGGTTTATAGATTATATTACCGTACAGTATTGGGACAGTGGTATGTACAGATGTATAAAACAGGTCAAATTTTTTTTCCAGCAAAATCTGATAAAACAACATTGTACTGTTGTAGCCTCAACTCCATAATTCCGGTAATTCATTATTTGTACGATTAAAATGTGTTTGCGAGTTTCGTGGCCCATGAAGGTTTTGAAAGCCTAAATTTCCAATGGCAAATAGGTCTAATTGCAATAGCAATATGCAGAACTGTAATTTGAATATTGACATCGGTCAAATCCGATCGGAACAGATCTGCAGATTGTTCGGATTGGAAATTATGTTAGATTTGTATTGGATTCAAACAATTCCAGTCTAATAAATAGTAATGATACTCAGCAAATCTATCTATGTCTCTTCTTTTGTTTTTGGTAATTACTGAGAACAAAAAACGCTGAAATTACGGTTGCGTGTACAGTCAGTGATCAGACAGTGCATTTTTTAGGTTGCACTTTTTTTTAGTTATTTTCCAGTGCCATTTGACATTTTGAGTCAAAATGGAGGCTCACACTGTCTCATAAGGAGGGATTTGCCCTCACTGTTACAATTGATGTCATCAATGTGGGGCTATTCTTGAATTTCATGCCATACTGCTGTCCTGGTGGTAATGTGCATATTTTTACTGTATCACCCACCTAATAAGCAAGTTACTTTTTCATTTAGATGTATTTATATCATTTAATTAATTGTTATTAATTGCATAGAGTTATGTATAACAATGATCAACTAAATACCAAACTCTCCGAAGACTATTTCTGACGATATGGCTAAGCTTTTTGGAATATACAGAGCGTGTGGAGAAGACTTATTACAATCATGGATTGTTTATGTCAAATCATCCGTGTATTGATGATATGCATATCTGCAGTAGTTATGCTATGTTGCTGGTAAGTCACCCATGACTTTTTAAGACAATTTCTCTCTATTTGTGCAAATCAAAAGTTTGGGATATTTTAAGGCAGATTTGCCTCTAATATATATAAATTTTTCATAAAATACATGGATAGAAGTTTAAAAATTATCTTAATAAGGTGAACCATGTTCTCTTGTCTCGTTTGGTTCCATTTTTCTAATGTATGGTCATGTCTGGTAGATTAAGCGATAGCAAAATGATGGAGCATAATCTTTTCTTTTGGCGTGGGACTCCGGACCCACGCTAAAAAAACTGGATCGCTTGGCGCTAAGTCCAGCTCTGCGGTTGGTCACTGAGTCACATGGCCAGCGCTCGAAAATATAGGAGTGTTTTTACTAAAATAATAGCACAAAACGTCTCTCCAAATGAGGAGTTAGGCTACTTGACGAGAGCTCAAAGTACAAAGTTTAGATAAAAAGCGCTACTCATCTCATCGGCTTGGTCCTAACTGCACAAGACGATCCATTCACCTTGTACCAATCACAGGACGTCATTCCCATATTTACACCATCTTGAAGTTTATAGATACAACATTCAAATTCCGTGATTTTAACAAACATGAATTCCGACATTGGGATTAGGAAAAAATCCATTCACCTTGTACCAATCACAGGACGTCATTCCCATATTTACACCGTCTTGAAGTTTATAGATACAACATTCAAATTCCGTGATTTTAACAAACATGAATTCCGACATTGGGATTAGGAAAAAATCCATTCACCTTGTACCAATCACAGGACGTCATTCCCATATTTACACCGTCTTGAAGTTTATAGATACAACATTCAAATTCCGTGATTTTAACAAACATGAATTCCGACATTGGGATTAGGAAAAAATCCATTCACCTTGTACCAATCACAGGACGTCATTCCCATATTGGCACCGTCTTGACGTTTATAGATACAACATTAAAATTCTGTGATTTTAACAAACATGAATTCCGACATCGGGATTAGGAAAAAGGCTATTCTCAAGTGCAATAGTTTAGAAAATAACTCAAGTTTTGCCAGTAAATACAAATATCTGCGAATGATTTAGTGCACGCTAAAATTGCTCTGCAGGTCGCAGGGAATGTGTCGGCGGGCCGCGGTTTGGACCACCCTGTGCTAGGCTATTGATATTCTTAATCTTTGCTTTTACAGCAGATGTTGCAGAAGTTTGGTATTTACTTTTTTATCTGGTATGAACACTAATTACATATTGCTAGTTTCATTTCTCATATTGATTGATTATTTGACTTCTTCTGTTTGTGTGCTGGCAGCAAAATTCGGTAATAGGATTTCTGCTACTGCTGTGATTCTTTGAAGAAGAAATTGAAATATATAAAGTACGACCATAAAGTCTTTTTCACAATATAGAAAATGTGTAATTAGATTATCACTTGCTTGTAATTACCTCCTTTTCATTTTAGCTACCCCTTATTGAATCTCCCTCTACCTGGAAGTGAGCCAACAGAATTTCTTACTCCTTTATCAGACTTCAGTCAAGGACTTTACACAGCAGGAAAAAATTTACCGTATTCAAGTCGTGATGTTCCGGTGGATTTACCACAATGGGTTTGTTGTTTTTCCATTCTATGAGAATCTCCCCAAATATGGGCATGGTGGCCGAGCTTATCAAGCATTAGACTTATTTAACTGTGATGGTATCGCAAGGTAAAATGTTGGGGTCAAATCCCATGCACACCACCTCACATATGGTGTAATAAATCGGGTATGCAAGGCCAAAATGGATTCCGGTTTTCCCAAAAAAGGTAGATTTTTCCATATCATTAGATATCAGTGCGAGTCCTTGTTCAAATCGAAAAGCGTGATTAGGCGTCGCATAAAAAAAAAATTGAAACAGTAATAAGACAAGATGATACACCCCTGCATCACTGTTGCCACCACTCAAGCCTTATTTTCTTTAGTGATCGATTCCCTGCATCCTTTTTAAAAACTATCTAATTTGGATCTAATTTTAGTTATTTTTTCTATTAATTATGGGTGTATTGAATTTTTAACTAGGTAAATTTTATTTTCTGCATTTTTATTTTAGCTCAAAAGTATTTGGTATTTTAATATAATACAATAATTAAAATGCAAACCTTTCTTTTCAAAATTTCAGTTTGAAGCGGATGAACAGGTTGCATATGTTCAACAATTTCTTGTTAAATCAATTGTTAATCCGTGGAATGAAAAAGAAATGATATTAACTGATGCCTATCGAGCGCCGATCGCAAAAATATTCACACTTTTGGAGGAAATAGAGAATTTTCATTTGGATGAAGAGTAAGTTATTTTTTTTCATTCTATTTTAATAATCATTTATGTAAATAAAAAAAATTACCAAAAAAATTTTTTAAAAGAAAAAAAATTCAGATATACCTTGGGCAACCTGTATGTGTTTGCCTAGCTTCGTTAGATAAATCTGATTTGTCCACAAAGATATTTGAATTTCGAAATATATATATTTGTTTTCTTTGCTTGTTCATAAAAGTACATATTGACAGCTACTATTTCTGTATACATGAAAGAATTATATTAATATTTTCATTTTCAGATTTTGCGAGAAAATTGCTTATTTTTCATATATGCTGTTTAATGCATAAGACTGATGAAGTACAATGACTTCACAACTTGTATTACACATCATTTCACTATTTAGAAAATTGATTAGGCTATGGCGAACTGAAAAAATTTTGAACTGAATAAAACACGTTTTTATGTATCATATGCAACTGGGGCCTTGTTTGGAGAAGATTTACAATTTTATATTATTTTTACGAAGTGTATACAGTGAATGGCTACCGGGAACATAACATTTGTCCGAGGCCTTAGGAGAAATCACAAAGTGTCATGAAATGTATATTTATGTCTGGATGTCGACAACGGAACAAAATCACATAATTTAGAAATTATTTTTTTAGTGAATCTCACTCTGTAACGAAACGATGTTTGCATGTAACCGAAAGTATTATCAAGCCGAAACAAAGTATTAAACCTCTTTTTCCTGAGTATGGTTGTCTTATTCTATCTCCTGCGTCATTCTGGAGAAAAAATATGCAGAATTTTCAAAACGATCAAAACATTATGTACACAGTACATAAGTATCAAGGAAAGACGCTGGAAACTTCACCGTCTGTAAAAGGTTGGTTCATCTTTTGAGTGGTGATTATTTTCTACTTGAGATATTTGATTATCGTGGAATAACTGGGAATTTTGTAAACGTGAGCAGCTTGATTCTGTATTCTGTTTAAGCTATGAGGATACTTATATTGAACTCACAGTCACAGATAAATGATTAGAACCTAATCCTAAATTATTCAAATATTTTTGGAATAAATTTTGGATTTGACGAATCAGGCGTTTCCTAAAAATGTCCATTCATGTACTGTTAACCAAAAACATTGTTTTAAACTTTTTGTTCAGCACTTTTAAATTCACAAATAAAAGAATCTTTATAACTACTATCGTCAGTATTGAATGCTTACAAAGATACCTGCACAAATTTTCAATCAAATTTGTATTATTCAGTTGCAATGTTTTCTATAAATCGTAAAACGATTTATGACCACATGATTTTTTTTTTCAATTCCAGAGTTATTATTTGGAGTTCCATCGAAAGAAAGTGGTGTCAATAATTTTATAGTTAGAAATAGGCAGAGAGCTGTCACTTATGCAATAACATTGGTTCTAAAGACATATGATCACAGGTACTATATATTGCTTTTTAGTTTATCATTCATAATATTATATATCGTAACTATTTTTGGTTGACCAGAGGTTTTCAAAACTCATAATACATATACTTACTGTAATGCAAATCAACACTAAATTACAATAAAAAAGAAAAATGTTTTTATTTATGTGTAGTGTGTACATTTGATTATCATCATGCTTTTGTGTCTTCTATTGTCAGATGTACTTCTCTCTTGCTTTATGTGTAAATTTCTTAACATAAACAGATAAGAAGCGATTTTTTGGGGAAATAAAAATTGATATTTTGCAATCAACTTGAACTTATCTTGCGACGCTCAGTTTAGGAACCAAAGCCATAGATCAAAAGTAACGGCTGCATATCAGAGACCTAAAATTTACTTTTATACTAATTTTTACCATACAATTGGTTTTTGTGTGATTTAACATCTTCTCATAGCTTTGTTAAAGATCTCAGTATTAGCATATTCACAATATGAACATCATTATACTGAAATCCATTTGAAAACATCCAATAATTCCAGATAACTAGGAAGTCAATTTAGAATTCATTTCCTAATTTAAAATGATGT